GTTCCATTGGACATTTAAGAAGCTGGAAATTTCAACTGGAAGCATCTACTTCGATTTTGTTTGCACCATTGCCTTGCTCACAACAAGGGATTCAATTGGATATATAACTTTACAGAATCTGACCAAAAAAAAAATCAATTGAATGTAAAATAACAAATCCAAGAATTCCACCAGAAAATTTTCAAGGATGTGCATTTTAGGAGCCATAACGGAAGCACCGATTCCGATTATTTTTTTCCTTTCGCATTTCTCTTATCAAGAGCATTAATTTCATGTATAATTTTATACAAATATAGCTGTAATGTGTGTAAACAATGGCAACAGCAACGTGCAGCATGAACGACAACGAAAGTGGGGAAGCCTAGGGCTAGCAGTAATTGGTCTCACGAGGAAATAAAACTGTTGAGTACATTTGTGCGGGCCTACAAGCACCAGCTGATGGGTACTAGCAACAAGTCTACAGCCAATGTGGAGAAAGTGAAAATCCATTAATGGGAAATGGCAGGACGAGTCTTGTTGGGAAATGGAGGGGTGGAGCAACCGTGGAAGACAAGAAGAAAAAAGTGGCAAACCATCACCAGTCAAGCACGGTCGTACCATAAGGATTGTAACAGAACGAGTTAGCTCATTTAGTGAAGGAGGTTGTGGAATGCTAGAAGACATTTTCGAGAGGACGCTTGTTAACGGTAGGTCATTATCCATTTTTAATCTATGTATATTTTAGGCCTATGAATCTAGTTTTAGCCGTATCAGACAACAGTGGAAATGTTCCCGTTTTCCCCATTTTTAACTAGAAGAAATAACACCCAAACTAGTGCACTTTATATGCACAATAATGACAATGGTACGTTTGCTTTACTCGCCTAATATATTGATTTGGAACTCTAAAAAAACCTGCAATTCTGTGCAACGACAGCCATGTGCTTTTTAAAATCGATAGCGATAAAGCGCCAAATTGGGCTACCCCTCGCACACGCGTCACGAAGCACGCACTCTGCCGCTTGAAACGCGAGGTTGCAACGCCTCCAGATATCGTAAGAGTCAAAATTTCATTCGCCATTGCCGAAATCCAGTCAGCCGGTCTTCATCGATATTGAACGTTTAAAACTGACCACGTGACATGTTCTTGACCAACAGGATAGGGTGAACTGTCCTATTTATGAGTGTATATCAGGTGACTTGTGACTTGGATACGGTATCGATCATGGTTACTAATGACTTAAGACTCAAATTGTACGAGTTGGGACTTTATTACTCCATGGGACGAGAGCCCCAAAACGCTTTAGTTTTGAAATACGCGATCTGGTCCGCCGAATTCTACAAAACTTTCCTGACATGTAGTTTATAATGTGCCATATCAAAAACCTTTGTTCCCTGATCCACAGTTTGTTTGAGAATGAAAAAATCTGTGATAAAAACGACGAAAATTTTTCAAGAGAAAAACGTAAGAAATAGCAACCTTCTATTGACACAGTCAGAATCTTTTTCGCACGCAATGAGTGCTTGTTAGTTTAATATAAGTTTCCCTGTTATTTTAAAACGTTTATCGTTTATGTCTTATATTCAAATTTGCCCATCAACATCGATTTAGTGCACTTCCAATGTTAAATTTCGTCTGTTGTCAGACAATTTTAAGTTCAAGCAAATTAAAACGATGAACACACGTTTTTTTCTTCTTCTTCCAGTAAGTACATCCCTCCATAGTGGAGTATTGTCGTTCTAAGTATTCAATTTCGTCTACGCCAAACCTTGTCATTCAGAAATTCGTCTAATTGATTTACATGTAGATGAGACAAATTTGATCACCGAATGCTGTCATTTGGCAACAGCTTCGACGAATTTGATCTGCAATGACGAATATTCTCGACTCGTGACTGAAGAGGGTGACCAAACTTTGAAACTGAATGGTAAATTCATATAGTTTTGTAAAAAAAGCGTAAGAAAATTTTTCTCGGGCGAAATTGAAAGTTAGAGTTTGTGAATTTGAATGAAAAATTATGTCGAATAGCTGAGAAAATCTATACTTCTTTCAACTTTCAAAACACATTCATATTCTTGATTTGCGTTATTATTTCTCATCACGATGCCAACGCTTTTTATTACAGTGTGCTCGACTTTACATGATCAATGCACTGGGAGTTCTGAAATCGAATGTTATGTATTAGCCACACAAAAAATTGATGAGTATCGTTAAATCGTATACCTAGATGAGAATCTTGGGGTGACATCTTTGAGTTCTGCTCCCCCCCCCCCCCGGTCTGTGATGAATACATTTTCAACAGACAAAATGTATACATCATAAACCGATTACATAAATTGTTGCATAGAAGCCTAACATGTCAACAGTTTCATATCAAATGGAAGGACCCACTTGAAGAGAGAAGGATTTTGTATTCCCTTATTTAGAAGCTTTGAGTGGCGGCATTACAACTGATTTTATTTTGTTTTAGCTGAGTATTGTTTATTTTTTAATATTGTTTTAAGAATTGATTCATGTTTTGTTGTTGCTCCATCCATTCCGTAAAAAATTACCAGTGAACCGAAACGGCCCACCTGCTTCCTTCCTTTTTTTTGAAACTGCATCAAATTATAACATTTTTAAATTTCAAGCAGGTCAAATTTTAGGTCATGTGGGTGGTGTGAGATCCTATTCTAAGGGCAGTGTTGGTAGGTCAAGTTTCCGTTGCGCCTTTTGAGTGCGAGAACAATACAAATTCTCGCTTCAAGAACATACCGCCCGAATTCGAACGGCCATTGTGTGAAAAAAAAGGTGTTTGACTGTGATTAGAGGGCGCTGGGCGAATTTTCGATGTATTTATGCCAGATTTGCTCATTCCCAAACGAAGTGTGAATCGGGGAAAATGTTGTTTTCGATATGGTACACCATAATCTACATCATGTCTGGGAAGTTACATTAAATTCGGCGAGCCAGACCGCGTTGCGAGTGAAGAAAAGTCCTCGTCCCACGGACTGGACTGGGACGTGGACTTGACCTTCATGACTGTGATCACAGAGTAAGGAACCCCCATTTTTGGACTCGTAACTCGACCTGCATAACGTGGCGCTCTGACCTTGACTTATGACTCATGTTTGGTGACTCGCATACAATTCTGGTGTAAACTACAGTCGAACCCTGATTAGAAGAGAACTGTTAATGCAACATCTTGCTAATAACTGCCACAGTTATAGGCCCCAGGTCGTCCTCTTTGTTTTTCATTACTATTAATAAAAAGGTACGCATTGTACCTGTTATAAAAAGGTTATTTTTAAAGTCCCAAAGACCTTGTTATAAAGGTGTTTTTGTACAGTGGGTACAATATTAAATGTTTAATATTACCCTGTTGTTGCTTTGGAACAACCAAGGAGAATCAATGAAACAATTTTGCTTATAAATATAAATATTTGACACCTGCAGGTCCTCGGAAAACCTTTCTCAGGTTCATTTTTAAAGCTAATTACAACTGTTGAAAAATTACAAGTGACATTGAAAAATACCCAAACAGGTACATTCTTAACAATTAAAAATGTTGCAAACTTACTTAAAGGGGCACTGCATCCTGAAATCCACAAAGTTGTCATGATTTGGATTGCTTACATTTCAAACACCTGGTTAAAAGAAACCAATCTAATGTCTAATCGTTTCCAAGAAAAGAGGGAAAAGTAACCGTTTTTTTTTATCTTGTTTCAATGTATTATACACACTGTGCATGTCCCATAAAATTACACACGCCACCTATGCTCAAATATGTTTCTCACACGTCTGCAAAAGATGATTATGAGTGTCTTGATCAAATGCAATGGACAAGAAAGATCAGTGGAATCAATGCTTCTAGTACAATCAATTTCCAAGTACATGGTCAATGATTCTTTGAAATCACAGAAGTGATGTATTGTTACGACTCTAAAACCAATGAAAATTTCCTTTGTTTTTTTGGTTTGGCAAGCATTATTACAATGCGCAAGTTGGCCCAGTTGCAATGTTTTTGTCAATACAGTGTTTGACATCTCGTATCTAGTTGCAAACAGCTTAATACAGGGTGGTGGAAACACTCCGAAACCTACTTTTGACAAAAAATGTTCACCTAATTGTTAGTGTATTTCAAAAATTCGGTTTAATGCCATTTAAAATTGAACTCAAAACATAAGCGACGAAAATTTTTTTCAAATGCAAAGATTGTCTCTGAAAGTGTGCTTTAAATAGTTGTGTGTAGAACCTGTTGGTCTACGGACTGTTTTATTTCATTCACTTGATAGAGCTCCAGTGCTTGATTTGAAAATGACTTGTCAAAAAATCATGTCCTATTTGTGATCCTTAAATGACTCTGTTGTCTTCCACTGAAATCTAATTCAAGCATATGCAATAAAGCACAATCCTGTAGAATGTGTCCTTGATGTTGTTTTCAGGCGCAGTTCAAATGATATCCAACGTTTAAATTGAAATTAAGATCCTAGAATACTGTTTTCTCAAAATAAACAGGATACTGACCCTTCTTAAGATTTTGAGCACTTTTATTGCCAATCGTTTTTTTAAAATGCACAATTGACAAATGATGTACTCTAATTTTAAGAAAAATAATAACTAACTTTCGGTGTGTCGCCGCTGACACTGCCGCTTAATAAGCTCTCTGCCGGCAGCATCTACGAAGACGCATCATCTCCTCCACAAATCCTTCTTGTAGTTGGCCTGAACAACGAAAGCAATTGTGTTTGGCAATCCCCTTCATTAAAATTTTTCATTCACCTTGCCCTGTCCTCTATTGTGGATAATTACGAATTCTAGTCGTTCAATCCGGAACAGGATCGTAGCCTCAAATGCAGCTATTGAAGGGACCCTTCCCTCCATCCCCCGCAATTCTTCCCCCTGCTGTTCACCCCCCCCCCCCCCCCGGCCAGGTTGTACTTCATCTTCTCTTTTGTACCCGTCATCCCCACTCCAATGTTCAATATCTAACTTCCCTTCATCCCCGTCATCGACATCCTATGCACAATCTTCATCCCCGTTATTTGGCTCCCATACCGTCAAAAGTGAAAACCTGTGCAAATGGAAACATTATACTAAAAAATCGAACTCGTCCCCAAATTGAAAAATATTTGCAAAACCCCCATTGACCTCCCCCTTGAATTCCCTGTTACCACCTGTTCCACCTCCTGTTCCCCCAACACCCCCTGTTCCCCAACCTGTTCCACCTCCTGCTCTACATCCTTTTGTGACCCCACATCTCTCTCCAGGTTCTTGTCTCGATCCTCGTCTGTCTTCCGTTCTTTTTCCTTTTCCTCCCATCCTCCATTCCCCGCAGCTTCTCCAAAGCAGCGATCCCCAGCTCCTCTATAAAGTCAAAAACTCCCGGGTCTGAAATGGAAAGGTATAATATGAGTTATTATGTCGGAGAGAGAAGGAGAGAGCTTTTGACGTATGCCTTGATTTGTGGGACTTTGGTCCAAGCGGGACACACTTTTGTGTTTGAGCCACCCTTGGACCAATATTTTGGTCCAAGAGGGGCAGGGCTTTGTGACTTTGGTCCAACTAAGGTTTTCGGTCCAAGGGGGGTTTTGGTCCAAGAGGGGCTTCACGGGGCAGGTCATCCTCGTACTAGAATATAAAAAATTATGTTTTTAAAATAAAAAATTATGTTTTGTGGGATGTGGGTCCAAGGGGGGGGGGGAGGCAGAACATTTATATTCTAAGTAAATTCTTCGACTATCTTCTTTTAAAAACTATATGCAAATCACTTGTATGAATTAGTGTTGCTTTCAAATAGTGAAAATTAACGAACAATGTCAATTTTGAAAGGATGCACCCATATATTTATTACTTTTTGTGCAGTACCAAGTCAAAATTGCTTTAAACTATAATACGTTTGTCCCCGTAAAGTGGTGTAGAAAAGGCGACAAATTGAGAAAACGGACGGCCGCGGTTGCCAGTTTGGTCATTCAGATCATGCAATCAATCAGTCTAAGATAATGGTCTCTTCAATTAAGCATTCAGTTACTCAATTGATCATCTGAAGTTTTAAATTAAATCATATTTAGTACATGTAAGTACATGCATATTGGTTACTGTGCTGTTTATTTGAATTAATGACCTAATAATTCCGATTATCACTTTCCGGCAAATGTATTTATTTAATAAAACCAACTGTTTCGTAAAGCATTGAAATAATTACACACATGCGGCCTTATGTCCAACTGGTGACGAAAAGTATTAAGTACGTAAGTATTTACACACAACTTTAAAAATTCATAAAAAGTCGACAAGTTTCATGAAATAATAAGTAATAAATCAGTATTTACACAATTTACAATTTTTGGATTACTTAATCAGTAAGTTAAATTCCATTAGATACACGATTCTAAAATTCATAAAAAGTTGCCAAATTTTGTCAAATTATAAATAATAAACCAGTATTCACACAATTTAAAATTCTTGTAAAATGTTTTCGCGCTGACCTTTTGTACACAATTTTTACAAAGAAAAAGTCGACAAGTTTCATCAAATAAGTAATAAATCAGTATTTACACAATTTAAATTTGTTGTGAGAGGTTTTCGCGCCGACTTTTTGATACACAATTTATATACACCATTAAAATTCTTAAAGAGTCATAAAATAATACATTTGCACATCTAGGTGAAGTAATTTGGATTACTACTAAATCAGTAAGTTAAATTCCATAAAATACACAATTCTAAAATTCATAAAAAGTTGCCAAATTCGTCAAATAATAAATCAGTATTTACACAATTTAAATCTGTTATAAGAGGTTTTCGCGCCGACCTTTTGTACACAATTTTTACACATAAAAAGCCAACAAGTTTCATCACTTTTCTATGTAAATGGAAAGTTTCTTTGGGCTATACTATAGTTACTGTGTCCTTGGAAAACTTGCAAAGCAATGCATTTCTTCCCTCGAGACCTGGGTTAGACGTTGTATGGTTCCCTATGTGATATCCCGTGGCCACGGTGAACTTCATATTTTTTTTCACAAGTTTTACTAACAAAAATGTCATTCTCACAATGTTTAAAAAGTTTCAAACTTTGACTTTGTTTTAGAAAAAAAAGATGGTTCTTTTGTATTAGGCCCCCCCCCCCAAAAGTCTCTGGTTTCTGGTATGGAGCTTGCCCATTTACCTGATTTTTTTTTGGCTTCAAATGTCGGCTGACTAAACTTAGTGCAAATATATGGGAGTCCAGAGAGGCCACGTAAAGCTAATTCCCGACCATAAACCCATCTAAAAACACGTTAAAATTGTGCAGCAGCAGGATTCCAGTCAAACTAGTGAGTTGGCGGTTTTGAGACATCATCTTTCATTGAATTTTTTTTTTTTTTCATTTTGCCGACGCCAATGGCTACGGCGACAGGCGCGCATTTCAGAAACCGGAGACTTTTTTTTGGGCCTTATTTGTTGCTTTTACTCTTCTTGTTTAAATGAAATATTTTATGGAGCCTTATTCCCAAAAGTGCTACACAGAATATAATGTACATGTTATACAAATATTGAGTGGCTCAGCGTGGAATGGGAGGAATATTATCGCAAGGTAAAATCTGGACTTTTCCATTTCACAAGGCGAAGTCGAGTGAACTGGAAAAGTCCAGATTTTGCCAAACGATAATATTCCACCCATTTCAAAATTTAAAGCCACTCAATATTTGTTTTATATAACTGACATACAGATCCTTGTAATTTGATATATTTGAACCTTTGTTCCCAATACAAAACTGAAGGAAAATCTATTTCTCTCTTCCAAACAACCCCATCACGAAAATATTTTAACCTAACGCTGTAGCGCTGGCTCTTTGGAACAATACGCTGAACGCGCACACCAGCATGCATTTGCACACAAATACCGTGTCCTGATCCTAACTGTTGATTAGTATTTCCCATTCCCCATGGGCGTATAGTACTTTTTGAGCCGCGGTGTGAATGGGAGCAATAACGAATGTCATGTGATGTGAGTTCCACCAATCAAATGACTAGGATCTGTAAGTCGGTTATACATGTATAAACATAATTATTGACGTTAAAACATACTTTTGTGGAACCCTGGGATGGATGATTTCTGCTGCATGTTTTAGTTTCAGTAGATGGCACACTTTCTCGATTTGTCACTTGCGTTGACCTGCAGATTTGTATGCTGAATCTCCATTGCCATACTTGAGGATTGTATATTAAATCCAACTTCCGAGCAGTGGCTCATCATCTGAAATCAATTTCAGAGGTAGTTGTAAATAATACATGCACTGAAACCGAGTGGTTGTACATTGTACATGTACAGTATGCATATGGGTGTTTACATAAATGTAGAGGCCAGTGGTATAATGCACATGTTCTTTCCTTACAAGGGTTATTTACATGTTAAAATAACCAGAGTGCTAATATTTGTGTTTTTACTTTATTGCCCATATCACTATGTACCCACTGAAATAAAAAAAAAAATTAAATCACCACAATGCATTTGTACAATTTTGATCAAAAATTAGCCAGAATTATGACATTTTCAGCAAATCCTGTTACAGAGTGAACTTTACCATTGATTATAATATTTGTAGAAACTGTCAACTATTCTAAATTTTAAGTGATTATTGAAGTCTTTTATTAAATAAAGAGACTAAAGAAGACCAAAAGTGAAATTAAAAGAAGTACAAGAAATATACCAATTTTAAATATTGGCAGATCAATTTGGTGTCGTCAAAAAACGTTACAGTGTGATACTTTGCAGCTGCACTCTGAATTTGTCAAACTGTATTTGTCAACAAGTTTAACTAAAAATATATCCTGCAGATTGGCTTGGAATATAGATGTCATTACATTTTGAATCCTTCCCTTAGAATTTGAAATCAGAGGCAATAAAGGTTTGGCGTCAACACTGACTCCGTTACAGGTGAAATACCTCTTTTCAGCTGAAACAATGAAGCAAAAGCACCTGTTTGATTGATGATTGAGTTTTTAGCTAAAAAATGTCTTAAGTTTTCTAATGCAATGAAAACTTTGGCATAGGACAGGTTAAAGTACAACTACAGTGAAGAAAAGTGTTTTTGGTGTTGGTGTCGGCGTTACAGGTGAAATGATTATTATAACAAACTAAACTTCCAGTCTCAGAAACAAGTATCTGATGTAGAAACCATCAAGCTTATCACTAAATAGAAAGGTTTAAATGGTTTGATACGATTTATTACTACTATTATTAGTTAGTTGTAGTATTGTCACTCTGTAACAGTGACTAATTGGTGTCAGCGTTACAGGTGAAATGTTGGTTAACACCAGGCTTTACTTACAATAACATGCTTTCTAGTGGTGTATGTAGATCTTCATTGCTCTTCATAGTTGCAGTTTTGGCTGTCAAACTTGCTTTTAGAGAACAAGTGAGTGTTCGTCTTAAAATAATATAATTTTATGTCGAGTGAGAGCTACATTTTTGTAATCATCATAATATGTCAAATTTCCTAAAACTTGATATTTGATTTTCAACAAATGTTGAACAAGGATAGTGTTAAAGTTTTTTTTAAACTTATATGTGTTGCAAATAATTGCTTAAAAAGCAACATGTCTTTACCATACCTGAACAATATCCTGGCGAGAGCTCTAAAAGAAATTAACAATTTGGTGTCACTGTTACAGGTGAAATTTGTGTCCCATATGCTAGTTTATCATGTTGCTACTCAAAAAGGGTCATGTTACAGAAAAATGGTTTTGTTTTTGACTCTAGACCCTAGACTGCAAAACCATGTGAAGCTGAATTTAATTTGGTTATTTTGAAAATTTGACCCTAATGTCACACACCTGGCCTCCACATTTATGTAAACACCCACAAATTCAACCACTTAGCTGTCTTGCAAATCATTTTCTTTTGGCATTGTTGTTCATTAGTGTATTCGCTCTTTGCACGCTTCCGCCATTAGCCATGTCAGCATGCAGAGCCTCGATCAGCAACTCTACACAATCAAAATAGCTGGTGCAGTGATTCCCCTGTATATACGGGAATCACTGAACCGGGACACAGCAGGCCTGCTGGTAAAAACCTAGGAGAGTTATCTGCTGTCTGCTACCAAGCTCTGCCACTACATCTATCACCGGCCATTGCTGCAAAAGAGGTATGGCATAAAAGCCCAACAAATCGAGCAGACAAAAGCTGCAGCAGAGGATTTCAAAATTTCCCTACGCCGCCCTATATACATGTATGTAAGTGTCCGACAGGCGGAAAACCAATCCAAAATTTCAGAGTCACAGGTGACTGTCTTGCATTCCATGAATTTGGCCAGTGTCAAATCGACGGGCACCCCAGCCCTTGGTGCTCCTCTAGAATAGAGCTCCGCCATTCAAGCAGTTTC